AAACATTTATTAAATGATATTCGAAACTCGATTTAATGCTGCATTTCAAGAAGACTAATATTGAATTGTTTCATATCCAGCGAAAATATGAATGATAGCAGGACTGTAGATTATTAAGTTTATATACTTAAAGGTTAAACGGCTATCAAAATATAAAATGTCTTAGGATTCGACCATCTAATGTATAAAATATTGTATAATGCCATGCTTACAATGCTTATATGTAAATTCTGTCAAAAAATAATGTAAACCATTTGTAAATGTAAAATTGTATATGGTTTATTGAAGGATATTTTGTTATATTTATAAATATTTAATATTCATTAACTGTATATATGTATTTGTGTCTAGTTCATACTTGTATGTACAGTGGCTCAAACGTATAATTGAACACTAACAGGCCTATACTGTCGAGGTAAAAAAATTTCCCTAGGTATTAAAATTTACCATTCAGTAAATTTTGTTACCATTTCATATTCTGAGCACACTGTTACCCTGTAAATTTTGTTACCAGTTGTAAGTTTGAGAAGAAATAAAAAAACAAAATGGGTAGGCATATTTTAGGCCTGGAATTCTTTGAAGATGAAGAAAAAAGTGCAAAAAGCCGTATTTTAAGAAGTTTTCGAGACTAAAAAATAGCCCTTTAATTTGTGAGTTAACGTTTTCATTTAGTTTTTTTTTTTTGTTGTCCTAGCATATTTTCCATAATTAGGTTCAAATATTTATGATTTAATACACAAATTAATAAAACTTTTTAATTTTTTTGTGCATCGTCTTCCATTTCGATGTGAACATTTTTCTTTTTGCTTTATCAACTTGCAAATGTAATTTGGCATGGACGAAAAAAACAGTGCTGCCAAATTTTTTTCAAACATTGTAACCAGTTCGCCCGAATATCAAATTCAGTTTCGGGTGTTAAAGAAAAATAACAAAATTTACTTTACCGGTAACAGTGAGAATAGGCCTGTAAGTGTAAGATTATTCAAATACCTATTGATGCAGAGTTGTTGTTTATTAAAAAACAACCTTTAAAACACAGTATAATACTTAGGATGTTTTATTCAAAAATACTTTTAAACTAAAAAAGGGAACAAAATTCTTGTCAAACGCATAATTGGACTTGTAATGTAGAAATCGAAATATTGTTGTAAAATTTTCAAAAGTTTTCAAAATGCGGATCAAAATTGAAATGGATTAAAAGAAAAACAAAAAACTTTAGAAACGCGATATTTAATTATAAGATTATATGGGGAGGGTAAATTCGTGTGTAAAATCGTTGACCGATGCCGGGCCAACAGTGCATGCTATAATTCAATGGTATCATCAAAATTTTTAAGTAGAAAATAAAAGTCGTATTGGCCAGGGAAAGAAATTAAGTGACTATGAAAGGCGGTGGATTTTGAGAGAAATAAAAACAAAACTATTTACAACTGAATGAAATGAAAATTTGGTCAACACGAATTTAAATAAATAAGTTTGTGCTGAGCCCATTCGTACCGTGTTATAGAAAAATTATTTCAACGGGCGACGAGCCAGAAAAAAGAACCATATATAAGTAAGAAGGATAAAATTGCAAGGAGTATTTGTTAAAAGATTCTCACTTTTGGAACAAGGTAATTTTGCAAAAACTTGTTAAATTTTTTGATCTTTTCACTTATTTAATAGATGCTATTTGCAGATGAGAGTAAATTTTACCTAAATGGGTAAGATGGAAAAATGTACGTTTGGCGTAAGCTAAATACAGAATTTTTGCCTAATAGTACCCGGGCTCCGGTCAGGCATGGGGGAGGTTCGGTAATGGTATGGGGATGTGTTCCTAGTGCAGGAGTAGGGAACATTCATTTTATAGAGGGTAAAATAAATCGATTCTAATATTTGGGCATTTTGGAACAAAATGTGAAGCAGGACAAATTTGCTTTCTATCAGGACAACGATCCAAAGCATACCTCACAGGCTGTGGCTTGTTCACGATTGTCCAACATTGCTGCAAACACCGGCACAGTCGCCAGATATTAACATTATTGAGCATGTTTGGGAAGAACTTGCACGTAAGCTCTATAAAGCCACAGTAAGCAGTTGAAGCAGGGAATCAGACATGAGTGGAACAACATACCTCCGGAATTTTGCGACCATCAGTGCAGTCGATGGCCCGTCGTTTAGAAGCGTTTAGAAGAGTTTCAAAACTCTTATATTATATATGGCTGTACAAATATGCGTTTGATAAGAATTTTATTCATTTTGTTCTCTTTTTTTAATTTAAAAATGTTTTTGAATAAAAGATCATAAGTATTATACATTGTTTTAAAGGGTTTTTAATAATCGACAACTCTGCATCAAACTTTTTTGGAAGTTTTTACGTTGAAGAGAACAATAGGTACTTGAAGAATCTTTTATTTAGTGCCCAATTATACGTTTGAGCCAAGATTTTTTTTAATGTTAATTATTGATGCGAGAAATTGTATGATTGCGAAAGTGTATATATACATACAATATGTATATGAATTTGTAAAATTTTAAAGTACGCCATTATTGTATCGATGTGTATCTATACGTGTATGTAAGAGTATCTGTCTTATCTGCTACTAGTAGAGCCCTCTCTTAGAAAACCGCAGGAATTAAAGCAAACACCTAATACATCCATGCATATTCATCAAAATGTACATACATATATACACATATGCATTTGTTGTTATCTAACCTTATATCTGGATTTAATGTTTCTTCGGCTGTGTTACAGTTAATAAACTAATTATAAAGTGAAATGGTGAAAAAATTTCAAAACCCATATTTCAATACTGTGTACACTCAGATCTCTTTCTAATATTTTACATAATCAAATTCGATATATGTTTCTTCTCTTACTACAGAAACTGCCGAAATCGTTGCAGGGCTAACTCAGTATTGTTTGATCTTGCCAATGGCAGAATTTAATCCCTTACAATGTGACCAGACAAGTCTTCTTCTAAACAGGACCTCTATAAGCATAACAACCGGCCAAACGACCGGATACTGTAGTGGGATTTCATGGCAGAAATATGGGCTGTTTCTCAAACGATTCCAGGGGCATACTCGTAGATGAGAAGGAATCGGTGGAAGATTACTTCGGCCAGTGTCAAAGCTCTCACTGCGACCAGCTGCCGCTTTCTAGGGAAATTCCTATTCGATTGCCTTGGAGGTTTTGCATCTGTAGTCATCAATAATGAAATTGCTCCGAGGGAGTGTAATTTTTACATTTCGTTACTGGGCCAAGGAAGAGGTTTTTGTTTGGTCTATTTCGAAAATTGATATTCTTTGTGTGTATGGAACTGTTCACCCCCACCGGAAAAGTCGGTTTTGGCGGTAAATTGGGTATATTGTTGCTATAATAGGTGGGTTGGTTGACGAATCTTGGAAGATTCGCGCCAATTCTTTGCTTATATTGAGGATAGCAATAGGTGTAATTATTGGGTAAAGATGCATCGTGCGAGACATGTTGTCTAATTTATGGCATAAATCTTATGTTTATGGCAAGGATATTGGTTCTCTTATATTTAATAAACGTGGTAAGTCCCCTTTAAGCCCACGGATGAATGTATTCAAAACCTTTGATTAGGTCATTGCTCTAATTGACTCTTCATTTAAATCGAGACTTGTAATTTTGTCTTACATTAGTGACGAATTTGCAAATGTTTTTAATGTACAAGTATAGGAGTATATTAATATGAAGCGAATATCTATTTTTTTTAAATCAAACTTTTAAAAAATTATTGGGAAAATCGTAATATACATATAAATTTATGATTTTACATACTTATCTGTGTATATAAAAATCACTTCATAGTTTGCATTGATTACTTGCGATGAAAAAGATTTTTTTGAATTCAGTTACGCAGCGCTTCAAGTACTACCTCTTTTTATATTTATTAAGAATATTTTAAGAATGCTAGCTGTATCCTGCAACGTTTCGTTGTAGCACATACTGATTGAAAGTATGAAAAAGAAAACGTGGCATATATTTCCGTCATAATTTTATTTACTCAATACTTGTAAGTATACAACATTTTTGGTTATACTATTGACACTTCCCATATAGAAAAGTTGTTTTCTGCTCAATCAAAAAAAAAAAATAGCCACCTTCCTATAAATCTAAGCAAAAAGCAACCTATGTACCGAATTTCAAGTATATCGAACCATAAATAAATTATTTTCGAATAGGTTAATCCCTGTTCCATTTGAAGTCAATCGATCGGTAACTTTTGGAGAACAACCATTTCCGATTTTCCTCCGATAGATCAGTCTCTGCCCCACTTCCTGATTCTTTTCGTAAAAGCCTTCCCAGGAACCATCGAAACAATCTGTCGAAATTTCAATGGGTTGATAACTTTTGAAGATTACAGATCTTTTCAAACGGGCACTAGATTTTTATTTATAAGATTCAACCAATTCTCAAGCTACTGTTTGATTTTAATAATATGAGGTTTTTTATGTTGAAGTGTGGTTTGTTTGGAGAGTATGGATGATGAAAATGCGTGGAGCTCGATCCGGCGCGAAGGGCGAAATGCTGTTGTGAGTCTCAATATAGTAAACATGAGAACCCGCAGCCCAGAGCGAAATAAAGCATTTAATATATAAAATATATAAGGTATTAGTAAAAGTACTAACGTTTATTTATCTTTAACCAAATATATATACAATGGGTATGTAAATTGTACATTAACTGCCTTTGAAATTTTGCGCAAAATCGCTTTGCTTGTGGAAAATTAATTGTTGTAGAACAATTAATATAAATACTACTTGTTCCATTTCAACCTTTATCCATTTAGAAATGATAAAAGGGGCATACCGGTAATTATTTGATTATCTAATATATTTTTACACAAATACCTTAAGCTTTGCAAAATAACTTTAGTAAAAATACTTACGTGACTTGAACAAATTTGGGCCATTTTTAATTTAAACTCATAATATTTATAGTTTCTTTGCACAATTTTATAAAATGCATTATTAAAACTTATTTTATTTAACATAATATTTCAAATCATATTAATCGAAGAGTTTGTTCATTCAAACGGCTATCACTTAAATAATAAAATGTGAAATATATTCAATATTAAGATATTTATAAAGTTTTAAAGTAAATTAAAAATAATACTTATTGAATTTAATAGTATATAATCAGAAAAGGTAGAGGGGGGACAAAAAAATCTAATATTACAGGAAAATATAAATACGTTTGGAAGCATTAATCATGATAAATTATGATAATGTTATCTTAATAAGCCAAATACTTTACTATACTTTAACCGATACTTATCCAACTTTTAGTTACGTCTGCGATAATAATTTAATTTTGAAAAAAAAAATTTTCTTTCATAGGCTAACAGATCACAACAAAACCAATTTGTTTAAAATAACCTTAGACATACCCAATTTTTATATGAATATTTGATCTAATTCAAATCGTTAATAACTTAAATATTTTTTCATAACTGCACACTGTTCGTTTATTGGATTATTTATTGTCTCACTTTATAGTATCATAGTTCAAAATATGTATATCTAATATTTTACATTTTTAATTAAGAAATAATTTGAAAAAGTTTTAACTTACAAGTATAGTAATGTTATGATTTTTACTCTGGTTTGTACATATAAAAACAAAAAATAGGAAAACATTGGTTAAATATTTATTATACAGACAAACACTCATTAAAAGCCTAGCAAGCCAAAATAGTTTGTATGCACATGCGTACGTTTGTTCAATGCATTAATTATATTTTATAATATGAGTATTTTTAACAATTTGCGCAGACTCAACGGTACTTTATTCGTTGGTTCTTTGTAGTTGAGTACATACATATGTACATTAGTATTTAAGTCTACCAGTTGACCTTCGTTATTTGAGACTTTCCAGATACTTATATACGGCCAGTTTTTTTTCTCTTATCATGGCACGCAAGGATGCTGTGAAGGGATCAAAGTTCAGAAACCTTTTCTTTCTCCGGAAAACGCCTTCCCTCCTCAATAATGTGCAGCTCAAGAGATTCTGAAAGAATCAAAATTCAAAGTTAGCTTGCACTAATTCATACGCTCGATCATGATTGGCGTATACTAAATTTCAAATAGATCAAATTTATCGGAATCCTTGCCTCTGCTCTCCTAGTACGTATGTATCTCAATTTGCTATTAGGAATTTACCAAAAACAATAAAAACGCAAAAGCAAGGAAATAATAAACAAAATGGGTTATTAGTATTTGAGATACGTTATATCCCAAGAAGGAAGACTCCTCACACTCAGGCTCACAATATGTTTTCAGATCTTAAAACTAAATGAAAATATAAGAGACTATTGCCTCGGAATGGGTTGCTGGCTCAGTGTTGCTCTTTACAGGGATAGTAATTTTCTTCTCTTCAGGCGTATTTGACTTGTTGCGGAGTTTAAGGCGATAGCCAAAGGATTCGGATGATTGTGCAGTTTTTCTATGTATTTTTGTGTAACAATTTCAATCTCTTCTTCGATTGTTATTATTCTCAATGTTTTCGACTGGAATCTTTGTACTATATCTAGACTTGTCGCTCAAGCTGTAGTCCATAACTGGATTCGTTTTTGGCCTTAATGTAGAGGTGATGTGTTTCCATTTATTTTCATTAACTTTTATACGCCATTTTGTCGGACATTCTTCAATTAGTCTAAAGTCTGCTCTAACACTTTTGTGGCTGTGATGGGGCATTTTTGTCGACATAGTACATTAGTATCTTCCGCAAAAGTTGCCACTTGTAGGATAGTGAACAACATACACAAAATTGGTCCAAGAACACTACCCTGCGGAACACCTGCCATGATTGGATACTCCTTTATTATGTAGTCATTTATCTTTACAGTGAATCGCCTGTTAGATATATAGAATTAAAGGATATTATGTAACATATTATGTAATGATTTTTTTAGTTTTTTGAATTAGACTAAAATGCCACACTTTGTAAAATGATTGCGATACTTCGATTTACTTGTTCGATTGTGCCATGTTTTTCGCAAAAACCAAATCTTTGTGTAGGAATAAGATCACTTCCATGGAGAAAAAGAGTAATTTTTATACCAGCACTTTTTCGAAAATTTTGGATAGGCAAGGTCTATATGATGACGGCAGGTTGGCGTTTTTACCCGGTTAAGCTACGATACTTTTATCGATTTTTTCAATATTTGTAGCTTGGAGCAATAGGGTTCGGTGACAAAAGTGAATTTTTTGTGGCATCATTTGGTTAAAATATTGCACTGAGATGGTTTTCAAAAACAAGACGACTTTTCTTAATCTGTTCTGTCAGTGCTTGCTGTGGGTTAAAGTTATTGCTGATTTCCTTGAGACCGTAGGCAAGTAAGTTGGTTTTCTTGGGGAGATAAAATCTATTTTTGGTACTTACGAAGATAACAGAAGAATTACGGCGATACATCCATAACTTAAAAATGTTGCTTCAACATTATTAAAATCTTGCTATCAGCATCCCTTTGAAAAGCAAAGGGCATTATCCATGTCGTGCTTAAAACATCGTATCCTTCGCGCAGTTGTTGGCATCAACCGTTCAATGTCTTGAGCAAAGGTTAGACTCCCGATAACCCAAATACTAACTACAAATGAAACTTTTGCTTCATCATCCTCACCCTTTTGGAGTCGCTATTAGGCCAACCGATTGCACTTATGATCCCAAAAAGTCATGAAAAGCTTGTCAATCACCATGGATACCATTCTATGAAATGAGTGAAATTTGTTCCATATTAGGAACGCAGTTCAACGCTTAAAAGAAGATAGTTTTTGAAGTGGTAAATCAATTCATTAATAAAGATAATTGGTATTTCGATTTTATTTGTTTTCATTATTCCTCTTTGTGTTTTTCGCATATTTTGACCTTCCACTAAGTTGCAATATCACCTTTCCCCAGTTTTTATTAAAAAAATTTGTCGTTCCAAATGAGAGAACCGCATAATCGTTGGTTCAAGTAGGGAAATTCGTAAAATAGCTTTTCGGCAAATCGTATCAATAAAAGTTAGTGTATTCCACTACTGACCGCAAATATAAGTTTGCGAACAATTTGTTCGATGTGATGAAGTTTTTCTACCAACCAAGCGTGGCCAAGCATAGGGAGAGGTGTGACTTGTGGTGCCTCGTTAATACACCTACTCGAGTTTTTTTCCATAATGCAAATAACATTTTGGTTGATCTTCAATGGTTAGCTTGAAAATAATTTAGTAGTAAGACTGCGTGGAAAGTGCTAGTGGACTAAGTGTTCAACAAAGATATACAGCTTTAGACAACTTTAACCCGTCGTCAGTAGACATGGGTGTGATATATCCGAGCCGTTTTTAAATGCGTTCTGCTATTTGGAGCCTTGATGTCCCAAAATTCTGAGTAGCTGGAGAAAAATTCGGCAAATGCGACTAGTTGGTGGAATGTACCACTGTTACATCAAAGAACCACTCACTTTGTGCTTAATTGTGCAAGCAATCGTTTCTAATACCGTAAAAGGATCCCAAAAGTACCAAACATGCAAGGACAGCAAAACTAAACACATTTGTATGAACTGCGGCAAATATCTTGGCAGGCAGCATGCTAACAATTTTTTCAGTTTATCAGCTATCTTTCTTTAAAATATCACATAACTGAAAGCACTTCATTTCGTACCGTTTTTTTTTTTTTGGTGTTTAACAAAAAATGTAAAAGAGGATATGTCAAATGAACTGAATATCTTTTGTTATATTTTTCATAACAAATATTATTAACCCAAGAAACAGCATAAAAAAATGCATATATATATAAATGTTATTTTATTGATATTTTATTTTTTATAATTATATTTTTTTACTGACTGTTTATTGGCGGTGGGTTATATGGCTCTGAAAGGTCTGCCCGTTCGCACAAATGATGCCACCAGTTTTTCGTGATATTCTGCTAATTGACGGAGAATTGAAATTTAGCAGACTCTTATGACAGGCATTCCTTACCGTACTTGGGAAAAGGGGCAACTGGATAAAGCGACTGGCTTAAAACACACAAGACACATCGTCACTTGCGGTTAAAGGTAAGAAAATGTTAAAAATTGGGAAAATGTGTAAATTTTAAAAAATCTTTTGAAAATATTCTCCAGTTCACTATTTTTAAGTACATTCTAAAATATTCTATTCTAAATACATATATTGTTTTCCATAATTTTTTTTAAACTGATATTTTCCATCAGAATCGCTTCTTAGTCACTTTGAGTGACTTTCATTCTAGATATAGTAATGCGTGTATATATTTCCACATTACCTCATCAATAGGAAATTCTAAAAAGTTGAGTATTCCTCTTAAAGTTGATTCCAAATTTCCAACCAAATCTTCGTAGAACACAACCTTGATACTTCCTGTAAAGTCTCGAGCCCAACTCAAATTAGTTGCTTCCCACATTTTTAAGCTCTTTAGCACGAATTGTTGCCAATCTGTAATGCAAATGTGCGTGTTTAGTAATAACTCCAAACACTCCAAACATATATTTACAGTACTTATGAATAAGAAAATATGTCGTGGATTTTATCATGCTTATTTTTCATTCCACTTACATTTTCCCTTAGTTCTTTTGTAGCGATCAGGCGCAGCAAATCCAATGTGACCGCCACTTTGTCGATTAAATTCCGCTAAAATCGCCTTCTCTGGGTCGCGTACTAATAAAATAACTTTGGTAAATGGCTCCCATGCCTTTGGTCCGAACTCATGAGTTTTTACTAACAATACGGAATTATTTCGTACGTTTTCAGCTGGAAACCCAGTTTTCAGTAATCCATAATCTTTGTAGACACTTCCCGTTAAAATTCCTATAAAATGCAAATACATATAAATTTTATTTTAACGGAAAATTAATAAAATTAATTACAAAATATTATACCGGTATCGGCATATGCGTTATCTACAATAGATAGTTTTGAAATTCGTAGAGATTCGTTCGCTGTATGAATATATCAAATGTATCGCATTGCCTTTTGGGATTTCAAATCGATTTTTAAGTCCTGATTTCGATTCGGGAAAACTTTTCCCATTGTTTTAACATAATGTATAATTTTTTATATTTATATGTACATAAGTATAGTATGGCTACGCAAAGAAAATTTTTTTCAAAACGGTAGAAACGAATTTTTGATAATCTACAAATAAATTTTTCGAAAAATCCTGAAAGCAAATTTATTCTTTGAAATTGATTTTTTGAAGAAATCGAAGTTACTATCGAGATGCAGATTCAGAAGGCAGAACCAACTATGTAGGGCCAAAAACTTTCGGCCAATTAGCACCCAAGCTGACAAGCATGGAAAATCAATATCTCGGGAGAATCTTAAATAGCAACTGGAGCCGACATACGATAGAAAGGTGGAGGAAAGCTATTGCTGCACTCTCTACAGACCTATTCTTTTCTACTAGCTTACAGTATGGTGCTCGGCACTAGAAAAAATTACTTTTAGGAGGTAACAATTATTCTCATTAGCCCTACCGTTGACTCAAATAAAAAGTCTGGAAACTAATCTTGAAATTCTTCCCGTCTTGAAAGTATCGGACTACAGTGCACACCCAAATATTGCCTTCGCAATATCGAATTGGAAAATGCGAATGTTCCGGACCAGTGTGACAAAGCTCGACGAGGGCTCTAAACTCGAGAAGTTGTGAGAAGTCCACCACAGCATTATTACAATGAGTTTTCAGGCGTAAGTGCGCTGTTCGCTTTAATCAACAACCAATTCAACTCATACCCAATTTTAGAGCTCCAAAGAATTGAGCCCAAAGCAACCACCTCAGTTGCTTCACCTCCGTTACAGGTACAACTTAGAGTGCCATTATAAATTGTATGTAATACCGAGTGTCATGCTCTTAGATGCATCGTTGGAGTATTTTTCAGCCAAAATCGCTAAAATAGATTGTATAGTAACTTTAGAGACCAGTTTGGATTCACAATGAGTCTTCTCAATGCTGATGCGGTTCGTGAAAGTTCGCGTTTAAGCAGACGGATTGACAGACAGGCTGGCGTGACAAAAAAAACAACTCAGCTCGTTATTCGGATCATATCGGTATAGATTTGTGTGAGTCTGTCTTCTGCTTCTGGTCTTTTTGTACTTTGGACCAAACGTAATACACAACTCCAAGTTTATAAGAGGTATAAATCAAGAATCTGACAATGATAAATTCCGAGATTAAAAAAGCTTTGTGAAGTATTTTGAACCATTGAAGTTCAGGTCGTTTTCAAATGTAAATAAATAGAATTACATTTCCTCTATGTAACTTTCTAAAAAAATTATGAACCCATTAAAAGCATGTTTTATTTACCTGTTGCTTGCTGTAATAAATAACGCAGCCAAGTATTACCGCTCCCGGGAAATGATGCTAACGCAGTCAGTCCTGTTATTTGATATTCGGCATTATTTTTACTCTCATCTATAGGCATCACTGAAATATGAGATTATTGTAATTAATATACACGGTTTACTTTAAAAAAACATTTTAGCATTTGTTTTGATTTACAAGCATTGATTCGCAAGCATGAACACTTTTTCACTACGTGTTCAGGCGTTTACTCGGGTACATATTTTAAACAAGCGAGATTTCATATAAACTAATCGGTCACGGGGCGAAAAATAATAAAAATTAAATATGTACATATGTATGTACTAAAATCTAATAAACATTTATACATACAACAAAAACTTTATAGTACAAATACCAATGCCAGAAAAGAGGTGTAAATAATTAACATTAATAAAAATATATGTATTCGTATATATCAAATCATTACACTTTTGTAAAAAATTGTTATAATTCAGTAAATAAAATATATGTGAAAATAAACCGAATACGCGAGTGACTTTTAATTTCGAAGGTACTCGAAGAAGGTACCTCGCGTAAACATAATCATTCGAGCCGGATTTGGGACTGCCTATGGTGTACTGCCACCACAAAAAATTAAAATCAGAGCATTAATAGAGCAGTACAAACAAAACAACAAAAAAATTTAATTCTTTAGAAAAAAAAATCTTGCACGCGCACTCAGTGACGGTGAAGCCTGAGAAAAATAGATACGCATACAATAGCACAAAGTACCCGAAAAAAAGGTAGACCTCAACGGCAAGCATTAGCTACCACATCAACTTCAATACAGAACAACAACACCAGTAGCAAAACATCTCTACTTCAACACCCGATTGCAGGATTTAGGAAACAACGCCGGCGCCAATAAGATTTGAATAAATATAACAAATTTTTAATTTTGGCTTAACGCTTCCTTGTAGGTCGGTCAACCCACGAAACAAAATAGCAAATTGCATAACTAAGAAAATTAATTATAACACAAGTTCACATCATTTCTCCTTTTTGAGCTCCAACAAAAAACATTTGTGCTAGAAAGTTAGTATTCCCGAAAAATCGTGCATCCGCTCCCGCCATCACTTTGCTCTTGCCAGCAAGTACAAGACATTCACTCTTGTTTAGTATACTGCATCTATTTTACTTTAAAATATCAAAATGTGTCGAAGATATGTCTGAAACGAAATCTGTATACAAGTATACAAAACATAACTGTAATGAGTAAAGCGAGCATATCACTTCTCATAGCATTGTTTTAATAAACTGTGTGCTTGATCAAATGGGTACAGCCAAAGAACGTTAATATACGATCTTTGCTAAGGATATTTTCATTACGTTTGTATCATGGTGCGACCGTTATGCTGCAACTACCCCTCTTACATACCTTCCGTAAACACAAAGTTGTCACCGCTTGCCCATGCCGTTACTGACGATTGTCCGACAGAAACCAGCGCGATGAGTTTTTTTTTTCGTAAAACCGGATAGGCTCATTTCTCGTTGCCTCACAAGGTTACCAGTATAGTCTTTTTTAAAGTAATAATAAAAAAATTTGAAAACTAAATTCGGAGCTAATTATTTGTTACCATATGGATGTACATTTGAATTGCGTTTATATTCGAACACATAAATTATGAAATTTGTTGACGAAAATTATAAATTTGTTCAAAAGTGTGCAAACACACTGGCAACATGGGCAGTTGCAGCATATTTATTATCAATGTTTTCGACTGGAATCATTGTACTATATCCAAATTTGTCGCGCAAGCTGTAGTCCATAACTGGATTCGTTTTTGGCCTAAACGTAAATGTGATGTGTTTGCACTTATATTCATTAACGTTAAAAAATGTTCTTTGACAATACTTTCAAAATAGCAAGAATATATGAAGCAAAACGGCGCTTTTTTGTTATAAAGCGGATTATAAATCGGATTTAACATAAAGATCAATTCTAATAATAATTTATATACCATTAAACAGACTTTGAATTAGAAAGCGTAGCCAATAGACCCACCCAAATTGCTTGCATTGAATGCTCCAACTATTATTTACAGCCCAATAAAGGTCACTATATAAAAATCCGTAAAAACAATTTTTTTCATAATTTGTTTTTGCGGTCGTGCTATATATTAATTTTTATTAAGTAAACTAGGAGGCCTTGTTGTTTGTATGAATTGAATATTTGTTATACAACAAAGAAAAAATGGTAGAAGTGACAACTGTTTCGGAGATCACCACATCTCCTCATCAGACTTCTTATGGCAGGGATCGAACCAACGGATCCTGACTTAACAGGCGAGTGTTCTACCGCTGCGCCAACATCAGCCATATAATCTGTTGTTGTATTATTCAATTCATTATTAACCAACAACTAAATAAATGAATAAATGAATGAACTTACCTTTAATTGTGCTTTGGGGGGTCGGCACAGTTGTGATCATGTGACTCGAAACGTCTGTCTTAAGGTACTTAAGGCCATTACACCAACGAATATTTGTCCTTGAAGTGAAACCACGAAATCTCGTGTTGCGGAAATTTGCAAACTGGAATTTGAAAATTTAGTCATTAATAAAAGCCTTTAAAAAATATCAAACCGATTTTATTTAGCTTTAATAAATTAATTCTTAATTAACGCGAGTATTCTTAATAATTTTGAATCGGCGTCGTAAACAACAATTTAATTATTGTAATTAATTGAAATCCAATTAATTAACTATGTAATGATATGATGTTGTTGTTGTTGTAACCGCAAAATTATTCCCCAAAGTTCCGGGTCGTTCCGGTATAAAGACCCGACTGTCGCGGGAACTATTGGATTTTAGTCGCCTCTTATACCGCGGGTAAATTCTTGAGCCCCTAACCCGCAGGAGGTGAAATGATATGATAATTTGTTTTGGTTATTTATCATCCCATCTTTTTCACTTCTACGGTTAGAACTTGTTTTAATTATTCAATTTTATGTGGGACCAAATTTCGAAGTATTATATATCTATATATTAAAAGAAAAATAATCCCGGCTGTGCGGGATTTTACGTTGGAATCAATTCGAGCTCGGGTTCAAATCCCAGTGTCGTACCAATATCGAAAAAGTTATAGAAAAAATTAAGCTAAAATTTTTAATTGCAGTCGCCACTCGGAACGGAATGTCAACCACCCCGAGTGTATTTCTGACATAAAATAACGGCTCCTCATAAAAAACTCATCACCCGTTCATTTGATAGGAAAACATCAAGACGCAAAACCGCAAATTGGAGGAGGAGCTCGGCCGAAAATCGCTTCAGCGGTTACAAATGACCAATTATGTGTAACTTTGAGCATTACCCTTTTCATAAAAAATTATATACGCCATAAATTAAGAACTTTCACCTCCTTAATAAATAGCTTCTATCGTATCAAACATAACCCAAAAATTTATCCCAACTCCTATGTAAAATACTTACCATATGTTGCGATGCCCAACCGAGACACTACCCGAATCAATTGTTTTAAACATTTATTTTATTTGCGATCCAAAGGCCCGGCTTGGTTGACAACGTAACCTAGGACGCCTTGTGGTGAAATTACTATATTCTTTCAACCAAAATAGGCTTCCGCCATAGTGTGGCATAATATGCACATCAGCAAACACCAGGAATGTTAGAATTAGAAAGTTTACAGCCGCAACAAACAAAAGCTCAGGTTAGATTAGACCCAATTTGATGCCACAGATTGTAAATATTGTCTGTACGTTGGTTTTTTGTTTGCCACAAATCTACAACTTGACTTAAGATCAACATTTAGTAATTCATTCGGGTTAGTAAACGTGGGAATTTCAAATCTGAGGCCCGCAAACGTAGGACAGAAATTGTATAGATGATTTTATCTTATTTTCCTAATAGCCTAATAGCTAGGGAAAAAGAACAAAGCCTAACTTATCCCATTGTCCCATCGGAATTTATGGAACATAACCCCAGCCTGCTGGATGGCAGTGAAAATGAAACACCCGGAGATGGTGAACCCAAGCCTCAATCGATGACGATGGAAAAGATGTTTCACTACTCGACTACGACGAGGTTCGAACACTGATTGGCCGCTTAAAAAACAACAAAGCGGCCGGAGCTGACGCCATACCGGCAGAGCTATTCAAACATGGCGACGTAGAGCTGACAAGGTGTATGCATCAGCTACTTTGCAGAATATGGTCAGAAAAATGCATTCCCCACGATTGGAATTTAAAAGTAATCTGCCCAATCTGTAGGAAGGAAGGAAGTCGAGTATTTTCGAGCGTACTGTGTGAAACATTAAAGGGAGGAATGCAAACGTAACGTTTACTCTTTTGCTCATTTATTTTAATGCTTCAGTCTGCCAGCCATGAGTTGAGTTGAGTTGATGCGGCTGCTGTTGCCAGCACATTTATGCCAATAGACCACTGTGATGTCTGCCAGCCATTCTTCGAATAGAAATAAATAGTTCAGGCAAAATATGGCTGTGTTTCCGCGAAATTGGAAGTTTATTGCAATGTCTGCAGAGTGTATAATTAATTAATTAACATTATAATAGTATGTAGATCCAAGAAAGGTACCTTGAGTAACATCATCTTCAATTGGTAACAGTGATAAATCCCGATTGTTTTACCGCCGGTTACACAGATATGACTCAAATATGTTGTAATATAATTGCAAATTGCAAATTTCCCAATTTACTTAGTAATTTGGTCGAAATAGTGTTCAGGTATAACTTTGTTATCATTAATATCTTAGACTTTTTCCACAGGATTGGAAAGAAGCTAATTTTCAGAGACAGTGCTTTTAGCATTTTTGGTGTAATAAGGTCTTAGCCTAACACTTTACTTGAATGTTTCGCAAAACAATTTGCCTTTTCTTCGCGACTACGCGCCCAGATATTATTTGGGTTGCCATAGAGAATATTTTTTGGCAAAAATTGGCGTCAGTTTTGCTAGATTTAGATTTGGCATTATGGTCTTCAGCGCGTTTTTTTATTTATTCTCTCTTTGAGGCAGGAGGGCGGTATGGTCGTCATTCCCTCAGCAAGCGACGTTTTTATATTACCAATTCAACTACTTCAGTGTTTGTTTTAGTTTTAACTCTTCTTCACTTTAGATTTCCGCAGGAGCGGTCTGTTATTAAATTTATTAATAAGTTGATCAAAATCATTTTCACTGTTCAAAATTGATATTTTAGCAATGTTTTGTTTTTTATGCTTGTTAGTCTTGACTTTTGGTCAAGTTCCATCGGTTGCTAGTAAACTTTTACCAAGGCTGGATAAGTCTGCAACACTTTCAGCTGATACAAGTTGTCTGTCTTTTTTTCGGGTCGGGTTATTACTCGACCATAAAAAATTTACAATTTGCATAAAACTTTTTCAAACTTTTGCTATTTTAGTCTCATCAATATCTCCTTTCCTAAACGAAAGTTATTATTGCCAATAATTCTAGTAAAATTATTTTTATACTTGACGTTGCCGTTGTAGATGTAGGCGTTGTTGGCGCTTCAAAACAAAAAAGGCATTAGATAGTTTTCGCTCTGGTGGTTTTAGGCGCGATGTCTCGTCCTCGATGCTTTTCCAAATCTTTCGATTGTGTTTACTGAGTCTTTAAGTACTATTTTTAAACAGTTTATTCCTCTTCATTACACAAGAATGCTTTTAATTCCGAGTTCAAAACTCAACTAAACATGCTGGCAGCGCATGCGCATCGCTCTTACATACGTCTACAAATTGCTCGTATGCTTGTATCCTCCAGAAGATTATATTGGAATTCTCTCAGTAACGAACATTCGATACATTCTCTATCCACAAAATGATTTAGTTATACCTCTCCTTCATACCTCGCATTCGAATTTGACATTTTCGGCACAATATGAAACAAACAATTAAAGAAGAGCCAAGTATGCGCTGTAGTTTTGGTCGTCGTACTTGAGTAAATGCTTTTTTATCAAATTAATTGACGGTGGGTTGTGTAGTGCTTTAGATACACTAACATATAAATTTAATTGGGGCAGTTGGTTTGGTTAATGTAAATTTTATAGTTCATATGCAAGAATAATATAACGTCTGTGATTAGAAGAGGTGTATGTATGTATGTATGTATTTAATGTTGAAAATGTTTTTTTTTTACTTTAAAGCATTTAATATGACTTACCTCGGCGAATCTTTCGACGTTTCCATTTTTTTGGTTGGGATGAGGTGAACTATTCATAGAAAAAAATACCACGCTGCATAAATATATAGTAATCAGTGCTGAATATCCATACACTCGCCAGCTTTGTGATGTCATATCGCATTTCTTGCATTACTAAAATATTTTTTCCTCGAAGACTAGTCTAGAAACTAAAATTATTGCAAATATACATTCGAAATTGAGAGATTAGTGAGGAGAGTATCATCGACACCCTTCAGAAACTTATAACGGTAAGGAAGTCAGTGCGAGCGTATGTTAAATATTAAAGAAAAATAATAATAATACTATTGGCAATCTCAGTGTCTTGGTAGTTTGAAGGTTGTTAATTATAGAAAAAATTGAAAATTTGAAACTGTCAAATTAGTAACGAAAATGTGATTAAAAATTTGCCAGGAACGAAATTCAGAGAGTAAGATTTCTGTATATGAGAGATGGTTTGGAGTTCAAAATCATTTTCAAACATAATTATGTGATTTTAATTTATTTAGGAAAATACATACATATGTAAGTACATATATGTATTTATGTATTTTAAGACCTTTTTTGTACTTAGGGTGGGGAAACTACCGAAAAAGAATATCTTCAGTACCAAAGGTATATTCCATAAAAAATATTTAATTACATATACTCGTATGTATGAAGAATGTGATAAATCTCTGTTATTTGACTTAATTACGTTCATATACATATCTACATATGTATGTACAATGGTACACAAATATTTATGTTTGCCAACAAATCACCTAAGCTGTAAGATTTCCGTCATCAACAGCTGTAGTTGCCAATCCCTATTCGAAAAGTTAAAATAAATATGTACATAATTAAAAAGTTTATAAATATATACATTTGTATATATATATGTATGAATGCATAACAATTCAATGAGGAAAGCTTCGTTGGTTACTAAGCAACTTGAATATATTAAACTAAATCCACTCAATATGTAAAAAACCAAAAAAACACACTTCCCTAAGCATATTGGATACACAATTTTTGAGCATTTTTTGCTTTTCATTCAAGTATTCTCTAAGTAATAATATCTATAAACAAATAACGTAACTTCATAATGTTCATACACGTACTTATGTATATATGTATGTACATTTATTTAAATAACACACCTGCATTAATTTATTGCTTTCAGTAAATATGTAAGTATTTGCATTGAAAACAGCAGTCAGAAAATTCGCCAATGTCTATTACTATGTCACATCAATTTGTTTGGCAGAAACCACATAGCCTTGGACAAAGTATAGTAAAACATTTAAGTACGAGTTCAAGTTCCATAGATAAACACTTTACATTTTATGTAAAATTCTTCGTTTTCTTATAGTTTTTTATTAATGTTTTGTTTATACTTTGCAACACGTCTTTTCATTTTAGTTTGGTAAAATCCACTACAAATGTAAATGTTTGGTATCAGCCAATTTGTTTTGTAGGGTGCCTGTACTTCTATTGTAAAAACATTACACTCACGCATGTAAATACATTTGCTTAGGAATAAAAACAGGCCTTTATAGAAATTTTATAATTCTTCTAATTTATTACAGCATTATTTAAAGTTTACTTTTTATCTATACAAATTCCATGCTATTTATTTCGAATTCTCCAAGGCGACTACTCTACTAAAACATAAAATATATCAAAGAAAATAAATCAAGTCGATTTCCATAGGTATAAGCACCCTATGTTGAGAAGCATTATCGCGCATGTCCAGTTATCAGCTGTATCATGAGATGGCTTAAGGCACAAACTCTTGAACACCGCCAGACCAATTTATATAATGTTCAACGAATTTGAATGTTTTAAATTTATGTTTAGGTGTTTTTATATTAAAATATTTGTGTATATGTATATATATACACATTTACACCTAAATTGCGTCATTTAGGTACTGTTCTCAATTTCAGCTGAAATTCTGACGAAGTTGAGGCGAAATTATTTAAACTTCTCGAAAATACCTTTGAAATTTACTATTATTGTGAATTATCAAAGGATTAAAAAAATGCATAACCAAACGACAAAAGGGTTTATATTCACTAAAATATGCATATTTGAGAATACCGTCCGAAAAATTCGCAATTATCCGACAAATAGTGTCAGAAAAATTAACGTATTGCTCAAAAGTTGGCGGTGAGGAGACCGGAAAGTTTAAACGCGTTTTCAACACGGGCTTTTCTAAGTTGCTGACGAAAATTTATCGGTAACTTCTGGGACGATCGGGTTGAAATCTTCACAGAATTTCGTCATGTAACGATCGAAGGCTTCTGAGAATAATTTTAAAGATTTTACTATTCCATTGATCATTACGTTGTATTCATCTATCCTATCTATATCAGATAAATTGGATCAGTTGTCGCTGTAGGAGATCCGCTACAGGAACAAGGGAACTCTATATTTTTGTAAATACATTGTGAATTCTTAAAATATATTCTTCACAAAAAATTCACCAAAAACACGTTTTGGACCCAAAATTTTATATAACCCTTGACTGCTAAGAATCCATTAGTATTTTTCGATCGAACTATGGGGCTGTTCGAGTCTTACTCAATACGAAAATACTGCAAATCATCACGCTCGATGTTAAGCAATTCGAAATTTCACATTTCATGTACGCAAAACTCAGAAAAACCGGCGATAACAAAATTTGTTTTGTTTAAAAAAAAAAAACATAAAAATTGAATTATATATAAGCTACTGGTAAACGAATCAGCGATCTCGATTCCTCAGAGATAGGTTAACTGATCAATCTCAATTTTTGTAAAATCTTATTAGATATACATATGTATTGAAAGAAGGAAAAAGATTAAGGAAGTTTTTAGTTCGAAATTTGTAGTTTTGGTGTGCAACTCTTTGCTTACTAAAATTTTGAACATAAATAAGATTTTTCAAGTCTCTAGGCTCGGCAGTAGGTAGAGCGTTGATCGGTTAGTCAGTCATTCACTAGTCTCACTCCATTTTCATTCCTTCAGATGAACTCAAAATTTAAATGGAATCGAAATCGGGGGGAGAAAATATAATTTTTTTTTTTTTGGTTTAGGTTTAGGTTTTACCAGGGCAAATCGTAATTAGTACAAATGTAGCTTATACACTTTAGAACTGTCCACATTTGGTACAGATGACGGCACAATCACCTGATCTAAATTTAATTGAAAATTGATGCAGTGCTCTCGAGCAACTAACATTTAGTAACTCAAAAACTTCCGGGGTATCTTCCGGCTTGGATCTGTATAAATACAAAATTTTAATTTACATAAAAATAATTATTGTACTCTCACCAGCTCGCATACGCAAACTTAAAAATTTTTTAGTTTATTTAATCCCATGAAATAAGCTTGATATAAGGTCATTTTGTATTTTGTTTTTGCAGTAAATGTTATATTTGGATAAAATTTTTTCTCGGTGTTTGTATTCTTTGTAAATGCGCTGTTGCGTTAAGTTACTGTTTTTAAGTGTCTACATCAGGACAGTTAAAACTGTTTGCCAGATAGCGCCAAAACTCTTGCTGAAAACTTTTTGAGTTTTAAAACATTTTTTTTTCTTTTGCATGTAATATTATATTTGCTTAATTAATTTATTTAATTAATTTATTGTACTAAATCCTTAAATTAATTATTGTTATTATTTTTCTTTTAATATGATATTATTATTTAAACTATTTTTTGTTTATTCTCTAACGGTGTTGTGGGAAAACAGTGGGAATGGCAAGAGTTATGTGTACGTCCGATGATATTGCTACAAATCATTCCTCTCAAAAAATAATTTCTCCACCTCCTTATAATATTTATTTAACACCATACCTGCCGTCAAATTAACCGGTAATCGAAATGATATCGATTTTATGTATGTAAAATAAAGAATTTTCATGAAGTTTAGTCTAAATTTATTTTTAAATATTTTCTAAAATTCTTTATAAAAACAACTAAAATTAAATTTTTATATAGAGTGTAATGCATACATTGTTTACAAAATTATTTACGTCTGAAATGTATATTTTCCGCAAGCATATTTTTTGCACTTCGAACAGATTTTTGTTGTTTATAACCTTTACAAAATTTGACAAGTTTTTTGCATGCATAAATCGGAACTTGTGGACGGTGTTGGTAAAAGCTTTTTTCTTCAGATTTAGTATACGCATCGCCGGGTTCTGAAACTAACTGAAACAAAAATTTTTGCCTGGAAATATATTCACTTTCTTTCTATAAAATCCAGGCATTCATTCCAGCTAGGTCCAAAACGTTGAAATTTACTATTGTAGAAGTGGCGATCTACAAATTTGCGACTTATTTCCTTGCCATCTGATCTGTCCCATCTACATATTGAGTTATGTGTGCAACTTACGACAAGCACTTTCTTTTTCGGCTTACTTTTATACACTGTAAGAGTAATGTTATTTTACTGATACGATATGCTTGAAAATCTAATTATTTAATCTCTTCTTTCTTTGTCTAACTTTGGCAACTCTCTTTGAAGCGGGTCCCCAATTTTTATTCCACAAAGATTATATATCCTAAATGTTTCTTCTTTTGGTAAGAGTAATTGCCGTATTTATTTGTCCTATCATTACATGTCGTTTCGCATATAGTGTTGGTCCTGACTTATCCCTAAAAATATTATGCACTGGTTTTGGTCCTCCGTTTATTTCTTCCTAGACTAGACTGTTCCATCATCAGCAGTTTCTATGCGTTGATCTTCTAAATCAGTCTAACATTCGGATATAAACAAAACACTATTTCTTTTCTGGCCTGAGTGCTCATTTATAACATTCTACTCTTCGCTGTCGCTTTTTGATTCCAATTCACTTTTATATAGCTCTTAGTTTACTTCCATGAATTGCCTTTATCATCATATTCTGAAAATTCTTCTTCTATGATTCCTGTTTCTGTTTTGTTTGTAAATGATTTATCTTCCGTAATAAAACATTCAAATATCATTCGACGAAAGATGTTTAAAACAAACAGATCTAAACAATTTCGCTGTTTGGCTTGAACCTTCGCAAATACTAGTTCACTACAGTCCAGAACAAGTGTTTAACTTTGTTCCAACCTCTATCTTCTTTTCAATACCAAAGTCTCAAAAACTAAAAATGCTTTTGCCCTGTCAAAAGTATTTAAAAACCAGTATGTAACTAAAGCGCATAATACGACTTTGAGGAAGCTAATATTAGAATATGGTGCACTGATATGTTAGAGTCTGTTTGAAAACAGTTTTCACTTTTTGCATTAAGACATTTGATGGAACTCTAAAACAAATTTTCCCCCCTATACTAACAGTTTAAAACTTCTAAATCTACCTGCTCTACAAATTATAAACTGCTTGAACCATTTCGACCTCTCACACTCAGTTTTCAGCATTAAAAAACTATTATTGCTTCTATCAACAATTAAATTAAAATCATACGATATTTACGAGGAGTTGAGGATTTACGTATGTCACATGTATATATATAAACGAATCTCAAAACGCAATCAACTGGCAAAATAACCGACTATATAAAGGTTTTAAGAAACTGATATAATATACAGTCAAGCCCGGTTAAGTTTCACAGCTTAAGCTGCAGAGACGGGAATGGTACTTACTGTGCTGTTCGTTAAAAATATCAATTAAAAATATAAAGATTTCACCTTTTTCATAAAGTTTCAATTAACAAAAATAAAAAAATGCAGTTCTTTAGCAATAAGGGTCGGCTATCGAGCTGACCCATTTGTTTAAATAGCAACGCACTTTTTTCCAAAATCATTTCACTGTGGTTTTAATAAAGAGTATTCGTTTAAACTTACGATATTTCAGTACATACTTAATTTAACTATATATAAATTATTTCAAATAGGTAGATAAAGGGAAAAAAGGATAGTAATCGCGGTCTAAAGGATGGTAGGTTTTACATTGAATTTTTGTTTCCTTGAACGGCAGCCGTCAAGCGAACTGTTGGAAAATTTCACGCGGAACGTAGGTCCTTGCAATACCGTAGCAGTACGCGATATGGTGCGTGCCATCTTTTCCCGCGGTCACCCGCTGGTATTAAAACAAAATTCGATGCCGCATTCCGATGTTTGAGGTAGCTGCGTCTTTTCTTTCATCGGACGAATTCGTTGTGAAAGACTTTGATTTTCTCCCATATGTTGGTCAATGAAAGGTCGATCGCGTTTGCCTCGGGAATGGCCATGAGCGGAGCAAATCGGCTAAGATTACCAGGAGTAAATGCGGTGAGATCAATAGTGTCTTGCGAATCTTCCGAGAGGTCTCGAGTTGAAAACTGCCTCAATTCGCCCTGATAGTGTTGTAAACTCCTCGAATGCAAACTTATGAGATGCAGCAATTTTTTTTGAGATGGTTTTTAAAGCTTGTAACTGCTGATTCCCATAAGTCACCCATGTGGTATGCGCTGGGAGGAATGAACTGCCAATTTATGTCTTGAGGAGCATATTTTTGGACCGTATCGGCAGAGAATTCATTAAGGAATTTAACGAAGCCGCATTGTATAGCGTGTATGGGCACGCTTTGCCGTTGTCGCTCATAATTTTGGATGGAAATCCTCGTCCGCCAGCGAAAAGTGCAAACGTTGCTCAAAATACTTCAAGTGTCAGATCTGCAAAGCGTGCGTGTATTTTGCTCGTAGAGCGTAC